ATCATAAAACAATTAAGCACGTGAAAAGAATATACATAAACAAAAAACAATTACTTATACAAAACTAACGATTAACGAACCAGCGAATTAAGACTAGTCTTTCTTCTGCTTCAGGAAACAGATCATGACCACCTTCATACACGAGGCACATTGCTTTTCAATTAAGAGTTAATATAGTACTAAATTATATTACTAGATGGCTCTTATTTGACATCATCCCGAACTTACATTCTTTATAATATAATCTTTTTTTTTCTGGCCCTTCTTTCCTAATTTATTTTAGATAATCTGGTGATACGAACTTAAATTGCGAGGAAAATATGAATTAGTCCTAGCAATGACCTTTTATACTGAATTTTCTATTGTTTCTAGACCACACAAATTGATTGCAGAATGTCATTGCAAACAAGTATTATGCTAAGTTCATCTGTAAATACCATATTAACAACGTCAACTTCGTTCCAAAGAAAAAAAAAACGCAGTATTTCCTTTACGAATAAATTATTATTTTTTCAATTCATCACGTGACTCTAAAACTCAAAATGATCTAACATATAAATTGGTACGTACATTCAAACAAAGAGGGTGATTTCAACCTGGTTTTATTTAATACGATGGACGCGATTCATCCTCTTTCCAGCATCTCGTTTTATACTCCCATTTTATCTCGTCCATGCTCTTGCATCCGGGACTTGCCTGACTAGTAGCTGTTGAAAACCGTTTAAATACGGCCTAAAGTATCTGTGTGAATACGTAAGCAATGTGAACGTCTTGTGGTCCCAGCAAGCGTAAGTAAAATAGAAAATAGACTGTGAGAGACAGAACTAAATTTTGTTCGATGGCATTTCCAGGAAAAAAAGATTTTTATTTGTGATTCAGGCGATGGATTTGTTCGGATAAATCGAAACTGTGCAAGTTAAAAGGTTTAGACGCTGTATCTACTCGAACAGAGTAACGTATCTCCGTGTCTGAAATAAGCCTTTTAGTTTTAATTTACTTGCAACTTAAAAGAAGAAAAAACATATATATACTGGCCTCTACAGAGTATTGTACGATACAACAGATTTTTTAAACCTTCTGTGTTTCTGTTAGTTGGCTGGATTTAAGCAGGTTTCTTTTGCAACATGACGAAGAAAGTAGTAAATGGTGGAATCGAACAAACCGACGGAATGGACAAAAGAAGCAGTCCGGGAAACCCGAACATTACCGTATCTTCCATCGGTGAAAACGCCGAAACACAAAATCACGTTAACGGTAACACTACTGATATATCTGACCCAGAAGGCACGGACAAGGTAGGTAAATTTATATTATTTATACTGTTATTATTAATATTAACCTTATGGCCAGTTCGTATACACCTTAGTGGACTTTTATTGACCTTACAATATTCGATTTGAAGTGTATTAATATTGATCAGTGGCGTAGGAAGAAGCTGCAAAGTGGGGGTTTTACAAAGAGAGATTGAAAGTACAAGAAGCTGGTAAAAGCAGCTCCAGTGCTACCAAAAGCAGCTCAATCTAGGAGAACCTTGGGGCATGTACCCCAGAAAATTAATATAATAGTTTACAGTTGCTATATAAGTCAAATATGTAAAAGTGGGGGTACTAAAACACCCTCGGTTCCAACGCCTCTGATAATTAATTTAATTTCATCGTGGAAGCTTTTCAGATGTCAACATATACTAATTACTATTCTGAGTTTTCAAAAGGGGGGATGTTTGAATATTGGATAACGTAATAAATTTGTTTTTTAAAATCTGTAAACTGTTAAGCATTTTTAGACAAGAATAAGTACACCGATACTTGCCTGTTGAACATATGTGTAAGAATTCTTTATTTTTTTTCGAAAACGCACAAGAAAAGAAAATACAACGTTCGAGTTAGGCTAATATTGTCAAGCTGGATGTCGTCACAGTTACTGTTGTCACATAGTATTTTAAATATAACTTTAATCAGTGTACCCAAGTACACGGTAGGTACAAATAAAATAACTGTGATAATAGTTTTTGTTAAGAGGCGGTGTGTGTGAGTGGGGGAGGGGAGAGAAAACAATAGCTTATGTGCATTAACTAAGCCTAAGGCTTAGCACGTTTTAAGCCTGGACGAGAGGAAGGTTTAACGAATGTAATCACGTTTCGTGAGTCATTCAGTATGTATAATCAGGATGTACCAACATGGTCAACATATGTGAAGATTAACTAAATGTCTCATCACTTTGTGCTATATTTCCTCCACCCCTCTCCATTCTGAAAAGGTTCGGTGAGGGATGATTGTATCGATGACGTTTTCCCGTTTTTCTGCAAACAATATGCAGCTGGACTCAAAAAGGAGATTAACCATTCCATTGACGATATTTTCACCGCAATGACAAGATTGATTTTACATTTCTTATATATATTTCAACTCGTACATGACCCTGTCGTTATTTGATTAACAGAAAGCATATTTATCGCAATGATTTTCCTTACCGTATGTTAAAGAGGATCGAATTTTCTAATATTTATTGATGAGAACCTCCGAAAGAAAGCAGAATTTATAATAATGTCAACCGGGCCACATTATATCTGCTATACCCAGTGTCGACTAGGGCTATCGCTCAATACTAGGGCTCTTCAGGGAGGCTGGGATACGACAGACTTAGTAATGATAGAGTGACGCTATTTATAGTATAAAATCAACGACCAATTGTTACGGTGTGAACTAGTTTTAATTGGTGTAGTATAATTTTTCATCAGTTGTATTTATTATCACTATCAGACAGTGTTAAGACTTATTCATGCGAATAACATGTATTTTATGACTTTGTACAGGTATTTAATACTCTTAATCTTTGGAGGATTTTTTCTTAAATTCTCATTAGTTGTATGATTTAGAGTTGTGTTGAGTGGTTCGATGATTTATGGTATTGTTACGGTCTATTGTTGTAGAATATATATTTATTATTGTTGTATGATTTAGTGCTATGAACCATTGTTGTAATATTCCTTATATATCTTAAGAACTGTTGTAATATTCCTTATATATCTTAAGAACTGTTGTAATATTCCTTATATATCTTAAGAACTGTTGTTTTTAATTTAGAATCAAGAGTCACCCTGAAATCTAAATGGTTGTTATCCCAATAAGCCTAAAAAATGCGATAAAAACAAATTAACTGCATTTTTTCTTGATTTGTCTATTGCGTATTAAAAATTAGAGGCTTGTAAAACCAGTATTTCAGATCTGACGTTCTGAGAGAGAGACAAAAGATTAGCTGAAACGGTGTTTATAAAACTTACTATTGTTATATTACAGAATTCAGGGTAACGTTAAACGGGCCAAGTGTTCGTTTTTAATGGATTATTGTCGTGTGTTTACAAAAAAGTAAGAGCCACTGCTTGAGAACATTAGGGTAGTAATCTTGAAAACGAAACCGACGTGGATAGAACACTGTTCTGTAAGGGGTGGCAATATAGAAAAATAAAACCAAATTAATATTTTTTAAAATGTCGGTTTGGGACCCCCACTAGTCTCGTTTTCAGTTGGTTGTTATCG